CGGCTGTCCCCGGGGGGGTCCCGGCTCAGGAAGGGCCGAGCCAGCTGATCCGCCCTGAGTCTCGAGGACACCAGCCAGGCCGCGTCCCTGTCCCCCAGCAGAGGAGAGCTGCCCTGGGCCTCCGCTGCGGGACTGAGTGCGGGTCCTTCCTCCGGCAGAGCGCTTGGAGACCGCCCGGCCTGCTCTGGAGACAGCTGCGCCTGGGGAGGTGATGGGAGAGAAGGAGCCATGTCAGAGGAAGCTGTTACTGAGGCACGGTTTTCTCTGAGGACGGCAGCTTTGCGGGTGTTTCACCTTCCCCTGTCTTGGTATTACTCCCTTAACCAGGTAATACATACGTTAGCCAAATATTGTCACTTTTGATGTGTTTAGAAGTTTAAGTGCAACGTTGTACTCACTCTGCTGAGCCTAACATGAATTCAGTTTGTACAGAATACCTTGATTTTCCGTTCTTTTAAAACATAGAACTAAAATAAGCGTGTTTTTTTGTCTTTTTCTGCTAATAAACACTTAGTGCATTGTCTTACATCTGGCTGAAGAGATTGCTTCATCTGCAATGTCTGTGTGTCTTTGTTTTGCAACAACACAATGATTCTCATCAAATCAAATATAAAAATCCTGAAGTTTGGGGTTTTTTTAATAGATTTTTTCAGGTATTTAAGAGCTGAACATAACTGTCACTAAATTTTGACTAACAGTATTGAGTGTGGTCTGAAATACTTTCTAGATTGCCGGTACAACTCACCAAATTAATCTGAATGATAATTCACTAATGTAAATCAAAAATCCTTGTTCTTGTTTTTGCGTCACTTCTGTTTGATTGAATAAGCAGCACATGACTAAAACAAGGCAGTGACCCTTTAAAAGCAGCTGGCTTTTAAACCCCTTCTGTTCTTTTTGCTGGATTGGTTTGTTTTACTTACAGAAAGGTCTTCTTCAAAGACAATCTTAAGGCTCTATTAATGACAGCATTTCCTTTAGTAGATGGCCCTGGAGTGATTTATTTTTGTTTTCTTTCATGGATGTTATAGGCCAGTTTCACTGGATAGCAGCCACTCAGATCTGGGTGAGAGTACTTTGTGATCTTAGTGTTCAGGCTGACAAAAGCTGGACATTGTGAAGCTGATATTCCTTGTCTGCAGGGAATAGTAAGATTTGTCCCTAGAGCACCTTCAGGTCAAAGGCAGGGAGGAGGAGCTGTGATTGTAGAGATTCAAAGAGAGGCATTAGTTGCCAATAGCTACACGTGTGATAAACGGTAAAGAGGAATAAATCAGAATTACTTGAGAAAATATGAAGGCTTCAGTCGTACCCCTCGGAGAATAAACTTCTTGAACAGTGAGCCGTGTTCTGATGCCGTAAGACACAGGAGGAAAAAAGAGTTTGTAGTTGCCTGTACAAAATTGGTCCAGTAGATTTTCTCCATTCTGTGTGTGCTGAATCATTGACAAGGATAACTAAAAGAAAAAAAAATTGTTTATGATTAGGAATGCCAACAATATTTTTCTTAGAAGTAGGTATTATCAGGTCCCAATAAAGTTCTGCTTTTAAACCTCATGTCTTTAGTGTGACTGTATTTTATTTTTATTGAATTAGAAGCTAGTAAGCAAAAGCTATGTCACTTTTCCTATTTGCATGTAAATGCTCTTCAAAGTTTACTGCAAGAAAAACCAGAATGAGGTATTCTCAGTCTTGGCTGCATGTGGTTATTAACAGGTCGAGCACACCAAAAGGAGGGCAGGAGGGAAGGTGGGCGTTAAGGAGCATGCGTTTCCAGTGAAGTCTCACTCTTTTCTCTTCAGATAAAGCTTTCCCCTGGGTTAAAGAAGCTTTTCACAGTGACGGCAGTGAGTGCAATATCTGTTATTTTTCTGGCCCATCACTTTAAAAGAAGGCGTGGAAAGAAAAACAAGAAAGTACCGCCATGGGAACCAAGTCATCTAGTATTAGAGTGCACCAAAGCAGCTGCATCAGAAAAAGGTACCTGAAAAAACCCTGAGTTTTGTTTGTGGGCTTGTAGAGGAAGAAAAGGGTGTGTGAGGGGATGGGTGTGCGTAACAGTGTGTAGCAGCAAAACAAAGCAGGTTCCTTTAAGCTGAGTAGGGTTGAATTGTTAAAGTAGAAGTTGTGGAAACTGGGAACAAAATTACCGTGTCTTATAAACAAGCTGTTCTCCTTCTCAAGGGTGAAGTTTTAATCGTGAATTTGGATTAAAACTTTTTTAATCCAAGAGTGTACTGACAGCGGGGTTTGCCGTTCTTGTGGGTGTATCTCAATACTGAGAAAAGCAGATTTAATTTTTTTTTTAGGATGGGAAAATAATTATGCTCCAACGCATGGTTACTGTTACAGGTATTGACTGCTCTAATTGGTAGTGTCTCATGTAGGACTGAATAAAAGAATCATTGTTTACTTCTAAACTGGGTTGTATTGAGAAGAGTAAAAGCAATACTTGACAGCCCTTGCTAAGGAAAGATGCGTTCTGCCTTTCTAGCAGCTTTAAAATCGGTGTGTCTCTTAGGTTCTAGCTGCTCCAGTAGTCGGCAAAACTTGACGCTTTCTCTGAGCTCAGCCAAGGAAAAAGGATCTCAGTCTTGTATCTATGCAAATGGAGGACTTTTCAGTAAATACTCTGGTTCGGTTCAAAGCCTGGCCTCGGTAAGTGATGGTGTGGTAAGGCTCTGGCCTGTCTGTTAGCCCGTGCTGGCTGTGACCCCGTGGTGTCGCTGCGCTGAGACCGCTCTCCTGAGCACGCTGCGCGGGAGGCCGGCGGTGCAGAGACGGCCGCTGTGCTTCCCGCCTGGTAAAAACAGCTCCTGGGCAGGTAGCTTGGGTGCCGGGTGCTCTGGCAGGGTTGTGGTTTTAAGGATAACTCTGCGTAACAACACTTCAAGATTTGTTTGGTTTTTTAAGGTTCAGAGTGCCACCTCTTGTCACAGTTGCGCTTGTGCCAATTCTAATTCCTGGGATAAAGCAGATGAAGATGACATTAAGCTTGTCAATATTCCAGTGACCACACCTGAAAATTTGTATTTGATGGGTAAGTTAGAATAAGAATATTCAGCATCTACCAGGAATGAGTGTAAATAATTTCTTACACAGTATTTTTGTGGCGTTCTTTCCCAGTGTCCTGTTGGCTTGAGTCTGAGAACATTTCCATAAAATAATGAAATCTTACTTGATCTAGACTTAGTTTTTCAAAGTATGTATTTTATTGCTATGTTTGTAGCAGTAGTCCACAAAATTATTGTAAAAAGTAGATTGGAAAAAATACATTGAACATTGTTTGTTTAATTGTATGGTGAACTTCTTTATCTTACTAAAAAGGCAGATACCTTTTATTATTCAATTTTTTTTAGATGGGGAAATGCTGTTGTTTTAAAAATTCCATCTCTGCTTTAATCATGCTTGTTAGAGTTGCAGGAAACTATGTAGCTAAAATGTGACTACGGCTGGAGGCTGTGTGTTTGATGGAATGGAGGTGTTCCTGATCTCCCCTAGGTATGGAGCTTTTTGAAGAAGCACTGCGTCGGTGGGAGCAGGCACTAACCTTCCGGAACAGGCAAGTCGAAGATGAAGCAAGCTGTGGTTCCATTAAGCTGGGAGCAGGAGATGCAATTGCAGAAGAAAGTGTAGAAGTGAGTATATTCGGTCTGTAACCTCCTGTTGCTGCCTGACGATGTGTTGCGTTTTGTTACCCGAATCTTTTCAACTTCTGATTCACTTACCGAAACTGGGAATGAGTTGGGATTTCCAATTTAGTGGTGTTGCGTTTAAGGAACACCAGACTTTGTCTTCTGGTTTGTTTGGTTGGTTATTTGGAGGAGGCCAAGGGGAGGAAATTAGTGTTACTTGGTTTTTGGCAATTGCTGTTGCATCACAGTTTGCTTCTGGATGTTACCAAGCTACCAAGCATACTAATTCTTGGCACAAAATCCCTTGGGTCATCCCTTTCTTTCTGGACTCTGTGAGAGGGTAGCTGCTTAGCAAAGATAAAGGTCTTGGGAAAGATGATCAATTTATGAATATTCACAAAAAATGTTCTTGAACTTTGTTTGTATTCCCCTGTTCTTATGAGCTAAATGCTAAAAATATCTTGAAATAGACATACACCTGTGTGTTTTCATCATTTCTAGTGCAGTAAGTGACAGATAAAACCTGAATTTTAAAATAGTTTACAATTATTTTTGCTACACTAATGTGTTCAGAAAAGTGTGTTTGATTTGGATGTTGAAGTATTCGTCTGACAGTGTCCTTGTGCGGTTTGTAGGAAATTAATGTGTCACGGTTTGCTCTTTGAAGGCTTAATATTCTTGGATTTTACAGAGGAATCTTACAAACTGTGAACAATTAGAAAATCTTCTAATGTCTCTCTTCTTGCAGGATATCATTAGTGCTGAATTCATTCATAAGCTTGAATCCCTTCTTCAAAGGGCTTATCGTCTTCAGGAGGAGTTTGAAGCCACCCTTGGGGCCTCCGATCCGGCTTCTCTAGCTAATGATATTGGTGAGTACTCCTATTTAACATTTTTATTGCTTGTAATAACGACTCTTGTCGGGGGGAAGTCGCTGAAATATCCACTGAGCAGATTTATATTTATCAGTAAATAAACAGAGAAAAAAAAATTCATGTTCTTTACATTATGTGTAGTGCTTGCTGTAGTGCTTGTATTTTAGAGCAGGGATTGAGAGGAAATTTTTTTCTTTGTGTCTCATCAGTATACTTGAGAATTTTCAAACATAAACTTTAGGAAGCTGAGAAGTATTAACCTGGCTATTTAAGCATTTATGCAGTAAGAATATATGACCCTTTTTATGACATGGGTGTATTAGAGCATTTCAAAAGAAGTTTTATATGTGTTTCGAACTGTTAAACTCTATATGCTTGTGCTTTTCTTCATTTGTCATAATTTTTTACAAAAAAACAACAGCAAACCGGAAAGACTTAGTCTGAAACAGATGTCCATTACCAAAGCTCTTATCCTGGTGACTGAAATTTATCCCAGTTATGAGTGGCTAAACCCAGGCTGTTAAAATGGCCAGTGTAATGGGTAGTTGCTGCCAGACATGCTGAATAAGTACAGGTAGTTTGGTTATTTAAAGAATTGGTTTAAGGTGTTCTTAAAGACTGGTACTGTTACGCTCTTTCATAATTCAAAACCAAGCATCTGCTCTCGGGTAACTGTCAGACTCGAAGGCACAACATGTTCTGGGATGAGTTTTAGTCAGTAGTCTTGCTTGCTGGGCTTCAGTTTGACTGGCACGAGGTGGCAGTACTCTCATGTCTTAGCCCTCGTGTTATCCTGCGGCTACTAAATACAGCTCTGAGTAAGGTGGGACTTAAATTTAGCTCAGAGTTGCCTTTCTGACATATCTGCGTACACCTGTTAATGTGATTCTTAAAGCAGAAAAGCATTGAATGTTTTATTTTGGTGTCTGAAACCGTAAGCCCTAAATGAAGTTGCATTGTGTATCCATTATTAAATTAGAGGTTTATTTGTAATTTCTGTCTTCAGGCAAAACTGTTAACATGGTATTCAAAGGACTCAGTGTTGATGTTCAATGTTTTTAGTTACTATTTTGCTTGGTTACCCTGGAAGCATTTTTTAATTGATGTTTTGGTTTTTTTAATGTGATAACTAGATTCTTGTTTACCAAGAATGTTCTGAGAATTGAATTCCTTTCAAATGTTCTTTATAGAAATAACTTGTGATCTCTTGAAAAAATATCTGTTGCTTTTTTATGAATTTTATTTGTGCTGGCTGTGAGGAAAACAATGAAGTAATGAAGTGGTTTAGTGAGTAGTGTTTTCACGGTTCAGGATTTGAGGATCTGGGGCTTTTTCATAGTTACCTTGAATTTGTGGCTTGAACAGCAAGTAATACATTAAAGAATGCTTCACGTTTTCAGAGTGTTTTAGAATGAAAACAGAACAGCATCATCTATTTCCAAGCACTGTGGTTGGAAGACTTAATGTGGAGGATGTTTTTGTTCAATATGTGATATAAAAGCATTGCATCACTCAACATTTCTTAGGTAACTTACTTTTCCGTAGGATATGACACTGAGTGTAGTGTAGGAATGTTTGAAGTAGGATGTTTTTGAGATGGACTGGTTTTTGGTGACTTTACTGGAAGAGACAGAAAAGTATGTTCGGGGGGAATCCTAGAGGCTCTCTACGGGTTTATCCCCCTCCCTTTTCTTTGTGTTTGGTGATCTAGTGAAAGAAAATGAATGCTGGTGTCGACAGACTTTCCTTTACTACCCCAAAATGTACACGTTAGCAAGTAACACTTACTTTGTTTCACTTCTGTTCAAAGCTCTGTATTGCTCTCTTAGGACATAGCCGAGAATAAACATGGATCACTTTATTTCCTCTGTGTGTGTGTGTGCGTGCACATGACCAGCGGGAATGGAAAGGTTCACAAGGATAAGCAAGTCCAAGAAAATGATGAAATCCCAGTGTCCAGAAGAAATAAAGATAGCAGAGCATTCTTTGCTAAGAATAGGAATTGTATCCTACTGCAAAATACAAATGGCAGTTCTGACCAGAAACAGAAACGGAGGCGCCTCTGCTCCGTAGGAATGCGTATCGTTCCTGGCAAGAGGCAGCATCTGCTCAATCGGAATCAGTAGTCCTGGACAATTTATACCCAAGACCTCATAAAGAAGCTAGATAAAGAAAGCACCCTAATCCATCATTTGCTATTCGCGAATCGTGGAAGATGTTCCAAATGATTGGGAAATCGCCAAACCTTAAAAAAAAAACCCCAAAAAACCCAAACCAAACAAAAAAAACAACCCACCCCAAACTCATGCCTGTGAAATAATAGCATTGCTCATTTGCAGTTCTGTTGCCACAGACAACATAATAAAAGGTGTAATTTGTGCCAGCTGATTATGGTTTTGTGGTGGGTCGTTTTTCTTGGACTGTAAGTTTTTGAGGTCTGCAGTTTGGCAGAGTGCTATCGGATACCTTGGCTAGGATCAGTGGCTCGCTGACAGAAACGCTTGTGCATACTTCTGCCCACTGTGAAGGGAGAGGTTTGCTCTCTGGGGACGATGTTTGGTCAAACGCTGTAACATTATCAACTACATAGCTGATGATAAAATCAGTTGTAGAGCTGGAAGCTGATTAAAAAATGATCATTTAGTGCATTAAGAGCATTGTGTTAACGAAAAGGAAAGGTTAGTAAAACTGATCTGACTGATCTGTTTAAATGGTTACAGTCTAACAAATGACATTTGAATCCAGGCAAGTATGGACTGTACATATAGTGAGAGATTTTGAAGGAAAATAAAGAAACAGTCTTGGAATGCGTTAAGAAAATTCTGCATCAGCGCAGTGCTGGAGAAAACAGACCATTGCTAATCTTTGGCCGTGTGAAAAGGGCAGCGTGAGCACTGAGACAGAGATAGGATCTCGGGCTGTATGGCTTCAGAATACTGTGACCAGTTCTACTGTTTGTAACTCAGAAGATATGGAAATACTAGACAGCTCAAAACGAGCCCTAAAAATGGTCCCCATTTTGGAAAAACAAGCTAATATGTGGTTTAAGTTGTGTATGTCCAGCTCCTTATTGAAGAAAACACCGAGAGGTGACTGACTTGTTCTGAATAGCTACTTACACATGGAAAAGGTATGTGGTGCTGGGGGATTTGTAGACCTTGTTCTCAAAGTCATAACTAGATCCAGTTTCTCGTTCCAAGAGAAACAAGTTCTGAAGTGAGTTGCCTCTGAAAAGTGTTGAGGGTATTTCAGTGTTTTAGACAAAGGTTCTTTTTTTTTTTTTAATGCTCTTTTGAGGGATGTTTTTATTCCTCTTTGAAAGGAAGAGGTGGTCTTGGGGGTAAATGATCATTGTGGCCTTTCTGGCATTTAAGCATTTCCCCTATTTTTTCTTCTTTCGTGGGCCTTGGAGTGCACAAGAAAAAGCCTTTGTCATCCTTAATAGGTTCATAACGCTCGCAGCGTGTCGTTAGAATGCTTATAACCAGCTCGTGTGCTTCAGGGTTTCAACTGTTGACCCACGACAGTAATCAGAAAATGTTTTGCTTTGTTTTTCTCTGATACACGCCTGTTAGATGTAGTTTGTGGATTTTTCTTCCATTTTTTTCCATCTGAAGCACTTCTGATTAGCCACAGCTGGAGACAGGGCTGTAACAAATGCTATCAAGTGTTATCAAAAGACTGGCTACATAAATATCTGACTAGCACTTCTTATTCAGGACCCCTGGGTTGTCATGAGCTCCAAGTTTGGTCAGGAAGGAAACTTTCAAAGGTAAAAATTTCCATCAATTTCTGGTTTTCAGCTTTCTGTGTAAAATCTTCAGTCACACTTCTGGGGCTCCTGAAACCACTCTCTCCACTGTTTGTCTACCAGTCACAGATGTTACTCCTTCCCAAAACCTTTAAATGTTATTTTACCCAGGTCATCTTTCATCTACTTAATCGAATTAAGATCTGAGTGCTGCCACTGATCAGTCCTACCATAGACTTGCTTTTCATCTCCTGATCCCACTTGCTAGTTGAAGTTGGCTGGCATGATCAACGATTTGCCAGCCAGCTTTGAGAAACAACCTTCTGGAGGAGACCGTGGTGACCTGCTGCGTGGGAGAGTCAGGAATGAGTTACCTGGGACCCTGCTGGCGCACAGCAGCCTGTCGCTGCAGCCACTGTCTTTCACGGCGTGGCCTGAAGTGCCTCTCTCCTCTGCTGGGGCAGGTGAAAGGTGCCTGGTCAGAGCAGCAACCATTGCTTCAGATGGTTGCATGCTGTGGTTTAATTGCCTTTTGTTTGATTCTTGTGTAAATTTGCACCTCCAAATGCTTTTCTTTTTTTCCTAGCTACATGGAAATTAGATATTTTCCAGATATTTCTAAATACTCAGCTTTTAGCAGTGCAGAAGATACAGGTATAAATAAATAACTTTTCTCCCTGTGGGTAGAATTCTATTAATAGTAATAATAATAATAAAAATTGCAAATGATCATTTGCAGCTCCGTAAGCTATTGTTGAGTTACAAACAACGAATACAGCCCTGGAAAAGACTTGCATGTTAAATAGATGAAATAATGGAAAGCAATTATGTTGCGTCCTCCACTGGACTTTCAGAATTCTCATATAAAGCAGCAAGCTAAAATACGATTTCAATAGCAGAAGTGTTCCTGGACGTGAAACTAAAACACATACGTGGGGCCAAACCGCCGTTGTTCCTGCGCTGATCCTCGTAGGGCTGTGGAACAGCACGGGAAGCCGGGCAGCAGGCTGTGCTGGGGCCGGCTGAGCTGCGCCGGGTCGGGAAGGAGGCAGTTGGCAGGAAACTGTGAAACGAAATCTTGAGCTGCTTGCTTCTGAGTCACGAATGTGAGGGGTAGAGGGTTAAAAGCTTCCAATGCTTTCTGTAGTCTGGCTTTGAAAAAAGTTCTTTTTTTTTTTTTTTTTTTTTTTTTTTTTCCTCTTTTCTAGCAGACTGAAATATTAGTTGAGCTGACTTGGGAGGAATG